GTGAAAGTGGTTGCAGACTCCGGCTCACCTGGGCCCTGCTTTTCTTGACCATACAGCTCCAGGCATGGTGTCTGAAGGTAAACAAGGACAGTGGAGGGGAAAGAGTGACATCTGTATCAGGAAAATAACAGTTTTTTCAAGAAAACTGCCACTCACTCCTGCTTCCCTCTCATTAGCCAGGACTGCGGCCCACCACTGCCCCGATGACAAAGAAAACATGGCTATCCAGCAGCTGAGCTATGAGGGGTGGCTGCTGGATTGATATAGAAAATTACTATTATTCACAAAATGGATAAATTTTTCAAGTCATGAAATCACCTATGTAGGCCCAAGTATTTTAACTCCAGCTACTTGGTCGCACGCGCCCTGATAAGAATCACAGGCCAACTAATCTAGCAGTAACTCCTCCTGTCACCGTCTCCTGCAGCAACTCCCCTGCTTTACAAACTCCGACCAGCACCTGCTGGGACCCTTCCGGGACTCTTCCCTGACTCCCACCCTCTTGCCTCCCCCTCTCCCCCTGTCCCCCACCTGCCTTTGAGATGCTCCGTGGTTCTGTTGTGGGCCTCCCTGGAGGGGGCCAGTGAATAAACCTAAGGGTAGTTGTAGGAGTGACTCTGCAGGTGTTTGGTGCTCAGGTTTCCACACTCGGGAAGAGGTCAGAGGGAAGTGGGTTGAGAATCAGATTTGGGCCAGGCACCTAAAGATGTCCACTATAGGAACTGGCAACACGAGGGCACCAGAAGCAGATAAAAGATGGTCATTAACCAAGGGGAAAGAAAGAGGTTACCTGCTGGATTTCTTTCCCTTTTAAGAGAATATTCTAGCAGCTGAGGATTTGATGATGGTCCTCTTCCCTAGGACCAGAGTATCACACAAAGGATAAAGCTACAGGATTCCAATGTTGGAAGAAGCTTCCTGCCCACTATTTACCTTCTCCACTCCCAGTTTTATGGCTGCTTATGAAATACAGCTAAATAAACCAGAGGACCTCGAAAGGTAATGTGACGATCTTGTCAGATGCAACACCTTGTTGTGTAATCTGTAATCTTCAGATAGATGCTTGCTACATACCTATGCACGACTGCCTTCTTGACCTTTCCAGCTAGAATCCCGATAGACCTTTCAACTCATGCCCAACACTGAATTCCTGACTTTTTTCCTCAACCTGCTGTCTCTATCACTAACCTTTCCATTTGAGGAAATGGTAACTCCTTCCTTCCAGTCACTTACCAACCAAATCACTTGGGTTTACCCTTATTTCCTCTCTTCCTCTCATGCCCCGCATCTAATCCATCAAGAAACCCTACTGACTGTTGCTTCTATACATTCAGAACAGACCGCATTGCACTGCCTCTAATGCTGCCACCGGGTCCTACACCAGAGGACCTCTCACCTGGGTCACGGTATGCTGCGACAGGCTCCCTGCTTCTAGCTGTCCTCCTCCCACAGCCAGAGTTAATCCTTTTAAAGTGTAAGTTAGATCACGTTGTTGCTCCACTCAGAAACCTGTAACAACTCCCTTGTTCCCTTAGAATAAAAGCCAAATCCTTACAATAAACTGCAGGTCTCCGGGACCTGGCCTCTTGGATGGCTCTGGCTCTCCTCCTGTGACCCCGCTTCTTGACCTTCCAAACGTGCCACCCTAGCTCTTTGCTGATCCTAGATCATGCCAGGCAGCCTCGCTGCGTCGACAATTCATATCGCTCTTTCCCTAAATTGGCAAATTCTAATGACTCTTTCTGGTCCTGAACTAGTATTATTTTTCAATGATGCTAATTTGAACAACCTCTAACTACAATCTAATACTTTGATCTCTTGGAATGCCAGTCCTCTATGTCCTTCCTCCTCCTTGCCAAGAATGTGAGGTTCCCCAGTACAAAGATCTTTTTCTATTTTTTTCTATGATCCTTAGTGCCTAGAACAGTGTCTGGTGCTGTGGTTGCCCTCAGAAAATACTCCTGAGTGAGTAATTCTATAATGTGGGATGCTTGCTCTCTCCTTGACTCAATGCTATGCTCAGAAAACAAGTAAACGGAACAAGTCATCATGTGTAAATCCACACACAAAGAAAGGAGAATCACTTCAAGTCATAGGGTATTCCAGAATGACACACAGCAGGACTTCTTCACAATCATCTTCCCCAAACGATTTCCCCAAGTTCTACTCATCAAATCACGACAGCTGCTCCTATTGTCTCCAAATATTTTGTAAAATTCATGCCTGTAGTAGCTTTTCAATGTTTTTTACTCTATATTATCATTTATCCTTTCTTTTCATCTTTTTTTTTTCAAAAATAGCTCTCAAATCAATCAAACTGAAATTTGAAATGAGAAAAGTTTTAAAGAAGACAGTAGAGGCTAATGTAGGGAGAATTTAGGTAGTTTGAAAATAAATGGTAGAGACGAGGCAGTTGCAAAGTTTCAGTTAGTGAGGGAAAAAATCAAACCAGGGATAGGCTGTAGGGATGTATTATTAAAGTGCTACCTGCTGGGTCACCGCTAATGAGAACAGGCTGAAACCACAGGTGCCCTCACGTGGGCAGACAGACGTGCGGGGGAGGTCATCAGTGAGCTGTTCACTGGCCTGAATAAGGTGAATATGGTCCTGTATCATATATACAAAAATACAACGCTTCACAGATTAGGATTTTGAACTGGGGGCCTTTTAGATGAATAAGGGCATCTGCTATTTCCCACATGATATATACAGTTATCAAGTCATCATGATGTACAGCTGAAAGTAGTATGTCAATTATGCTTCAAAGTCATTGCCCTCAAAAAATAAGACAAGTAAAAAATGGATTCCATAAAGGGTTTTGAAAATCTGTGAGTGTCAGAGGTGACTACTTCCTCACAACTACTCCTCTGAGTTTCATCCTGGAGGTAAGAAAGATACATTCCTTGTTCTGGTAGCTACAGGCACTTATCTGCATGGACAATGGGACTGACACATTTTGGCTTAAATTGTGTCCCCATTCCAATCTTCTGCATTGTTGTCGCCTAACCAGCAATGCCATCTTCCATTCTCGTCATTTACCAAAATCTCATTCACTCTTTCAGAGCCGGTTTAACTACCACTCTCTACCTGGGAGTACACCATTAAAATCTCAGCATTTCACCTGTACTCCTTTCGTAGCAAACAGTTTAATTATAATGCCCAGGAAACACACTGTTTGACCTGAAAGCAACATCACCATAAAATCTAGCCTGTTTACAAAAGCTGAATGAACTAACTTGGGTATTATTGACAGTAATTTTTGTATCATAAAAGCTATTGACATGGAAAATGGATAAGGTACTAAAATACCTCAGTATACTTATAAATACTACTAAGAAGGAAAATCTTCCTGTTTAGAAAACAATTATTAAAATTTATAGATAAACATCAAATACCAGAACATATGATCTTAAAACATTTATCTCTCAGTTTTTCTGATTATTGCTATCACTTGCTTTAGGCAGGAAAAACAGTTATTACATTATCGACAGTTCAAAAATGAGGAGCATCTTTCTGTTAAAATTATTCACTGTTCTGTTTAAATATAAATTGTTTAAGCTATCAGAATGAGTATTTGCATATGTGTAATAGAAATAAGCACTATGTTATATCATCAAATCTTATTATAAGCATATTTAGGCTTTAAAAAGTTACTTTCTATAGTCATCATTTAAACTGTATTTTACCTTCATGCAAATATGACTTTAAGATTTTAAACAAACTTAATTAATTATAGATTATATATTTTTAAGGTTCATTATATGCCTTTGAATGATTTCCCCAAGCACCTCCTCTTAAATGAAATAAAATTATTAGAAACTCAAGGTCTATACTTTGTTGGGGGCAGACTGAGACATACAGAATTTTCACTTTCCAAAATATAAAATTAAAGAAATTATTTTTCAGAATAAGATAGTCCTGTCATAAAAGATTTTAAGACAGTTTAGAAAATCACCTAAATTCATCAGATTAAATTCAACTCATATTTAGATGTAGTTTGTTTATGGACAAAACATCTCAGGATGAAATTTTTTATGTTGGAGTGGAAAGCACTTTTTATAAGTATATTAAGATAGCATATGTAGTACTATCATAATATTTCAAAAAAAATTGTATCTTTCACTGTATAAGAAGTCAGCTAGGTTTTTATATAAAGTTCCTCCCCAGACTTGCAAAAAATTATAAAGGTCAGATTTTGCAATATTTCAGTGTGTGTATTTTGTAAGCAGACTTAATTATATTAAACTCTCTGCTTTGGTAAATCCTCATTCTACCGACATATTTTAGTGCATCTTTTCCTGCAGGAGTGGGCTTCAAAAGGAATAATATGCTCAGGGTAAGTTTTGACCAAGACAAGACAAAGGGACTTTTCTGCTTGTGGGCAAAGGAAGGAAAATGAAGAAAATCTGAGTTACTTAATAGCCCAGCTGCTGCTTACAGGACTACTTGCATATTGTTAACATTCACTGAGGGGTCGATGTATCACAGACAGTTCTGTCCTATATATATCTGGGTCCTGATATAATGTCACTGCTAATACCACAAAGACACTCTCATAGGCATGGCAAATGGTCCATCCCACCTTACCCATTATAGAGTATGTGTTTCACTTGTCCTACAACAAAAACATGAACATGGAAAATTTGGACAATTTGATGTAGAATGAAAAGCACGTTTACCTGTCTATGATGGCACACATGTCAATGCTGACATTTGCAAAACTTCCTGGTCTCCTCTGAGCCACTTCATATAAATTCACAAGTCGATCATCCACTTGAATGAGCTGCATGCATCCTTGGAATGAAGGCTGAAGGACAGAGTGGCTTGAGTTTTTCATCTGGTTCAGAAAACCTGTGAGAGAGAAGAAATAGGAATGTTAAATCCTGAGTACACCAAACTTCACCAAAGTCCCTCTGGGTCTTTTCCCTGACTACAGCCATTATATCCAAGTACTGTGCATTATTGATCCCTCCTGATGTCATATTCAATGTAGAAGAATGAAATCTTTTCAGAAAGCAACATTATTTCCGGGGAAGAAATAGGGGTTGAACCTAGGCAAATGTTTGCCTCTGAGGTCTATCATTCTTCACATTTCCTCTTCGACATCTTCTTTCATACTCTGTCACACCTCCCCATCCCTCTTCTGTTGAAGACTCACTGCTGTACTTCCTCACCTGACCCTGTGCTCAGAGATCAGGACATAGAAGAGACCTTGCCCAACTATCCACTGCCTCACTTTTACACCTTCAAAACCTATTTCTACTTTCTTAATACCCTAGAGGGCTGTTATTCAGAGGTCAAGAAGCTAAACTTAATATTATCAATTAAGGTGAATTTCTTTTATGGATTAATGTCAAACTCAATGCAAAGAGAGATTTGCATTACAATTGATTTCTCAATTTATAAAATCCAAAGAAACATTACAAAGAGATAAACTTAGGTATAAGGGTCAGTCACCCTGCTCTGAATACACATCTTATATAAGGTACCTAAAATGGCAGAGGGAGCATACATGATAAGAAATGAAACTGAAAAGAAAGAATAATGACAAAAAGGAGAGTAAACACTACTGGTTGTGTTAGGAAACAGACCATAAATATACTAAGAGTTTGAAATCAGACATCAAAAAATTTTATTGCACAGTACCTTTACTATTATGCTTTTCTAATAGAAAAATGAATGATTCTTATTATGGCAGAAAATTTTTAGGTCATAGGGAATAATGTTTATTGATCCCATTAGGTATCTCCAGAAAGTCCCCCAAAGCGTCTACTTTTCCTATCATTCCCCACATCAAATTCAAGTAAATTTAAGCTGTACTAACTTGTCTGTTGAAAAACTCTGAAATTATTCACACATTCATCTCAATCTAATAGGGTATCTACAGCAAAACACAATTTACACAGAATGGGTTGGAACCAAGATGTGTCATTAATTGGATAAAAGTGAATTTTCATACAAACTCTTCAGAAAAATTTGGCCATTAAGTGATACTTTAGAATGTTCTATTCTGTTTGACTATTAATAGTAGTTTAGGGTAATAGAAACTTCCTTTCTCCCTTTATTAACAGGTTACAATATTTCAAGTCTAATAATTATCATTTGGATGCCCTTTTTAGGGTTAATCACAGAAGTATATATCATTTTCTATCAACACAGTATGATGTAAATCTAGCATTACACTTGAATTAATTTCTTGACTTAAAAATAAATATAAGGCAGTTTCAATGTTTCATATGACTCATATTTTTTTCAAAAGTCATAATGTTTTTTTCATTTGCATTGACTTAGTCCACTCAGAAAATTGCTGATCTCAGATAAGTGGTCTATTTAGAGTAGCTGTATGCATATATATGATTTTCAATCTGTTTAATCAGGATAAAATTGAATGGACTTTAATGTCTAAACTTACTAGACAGAAAACATCCAGCTGTAACTTTGTTGACTCTTCTTAACAAGACTATCATTTGGTTCTGTTTTTTTGAATACTTGGGATTCAATAAATACCCACAGTAACTTTGAAGTATTCTAAAATGGGTAGATCTATTTGTGAGAACAAATTTTCTCCGAAGCAAGGCAGCTGTTTAACACACAGATCACTGTGGATTGGGCAATATTAGATTCAACATACAGGACTTCATCAGTCATTTGTAACAATGTTCTCTTTGGCCCTAATGAATTTTGGAGTTTGAAATTGCCAAGTCCTTTCATTTTTCTACAAGGGATACATTCTAGAAGATAATTATAGGACAAACTACTACACACCCCTGATAGATTGTTTTTTTTCCTTCCCTTGCATTATCTTGAGATACCCCATGAGTCCTTGCCTTCTGATGCTCATATCCTTTTGTGGTCCCCTTCCACACCAAATCAGGGCTGGCTTTGTGGTCAATAGGAAACTGAAATAGTAGGGGCGGCATGTGACTTCTGAGCTAGTTTTCAGCTTGGTCTCTGAGATTGTTAACTGAGAAGTCAGCTACCATGCATTGAGCCATCTGTGGAGAGATCCACACAAGATAATAAATCATGGTTTTAAGCTATTAAATTTCAGGGGGATATTCTACACATCATAAAGACTAAAAACAAATTTGGTACTGGGAAAGAATTTTAATGACAAACTAAAAATGCAGCAATGTCATAGGGACTGGGATGTTCAAGTAAAGTGGTCAGGCCTTGAAAGAACTTTTAGCAGAAGTGCCAGTGCTCTGGAGAGGGTTATCAGGAATGGCTTAAGGGAAGTGAGCAGAAATGTTATTGGCAATGGGAGGAAACTGGATCCTGGCTATATAGGAATGCAGTGCTTAGCAACAGTGTGATGATATGAGAAGGAAAAAGTTGTATTTAATGAATTGTTAACCCTGCTAAGACCAATTCCAGGCAGAGAATTCTGACTGGACTTTATAGTAAAGGGGGAAAAAAAGAGAAAAGCTAGAAAAAAATGTGAAATGCAAAGAAGCCAGGACTTGATGGATTTGAAAATAAACTATTTTCTCAATTCCAGTTTCTCCATATGGCGAGCATTGCAAAAATTAAGAAACTATTTCTGGGAAAAGATCAACCATTAGTAAAACATAATCTAAATATGGCAATAAGGTGTACTGTAAATCCATGTTAAGACCTCCAAAATGTATTACCTGGTACCTTATAGAACAATTTAGAGTGGGGGTGGGGGTGGGGAGATGGTGGTGTGAGAAGTGAGGCTGAAACCTCCACCCAAAAACCACATATAACACAAAAATCAGCAAATACAACTAATCCCGAAACAGCAACCCAAAGACAGCAGAACAGACTGTCTATATCTGGGGAAAAGAGAAGACATCACAGAAAAGGGGTAAAGTAGCAAAGCCATGATCTGGCAGAACCCAAGCTCTCCCCCAACAGCAGCTCGCAGGCAGGAGAAAGAGAAACAGAGCAGGGAGGGAGTAGAAGCCCAGGACTGCTAAAAACCCACCCCTGGAGATGTGCTCCAGGAGCATGAACCCACGTCACATGGTGCTCTGAAGATTAATGGGGTTGGGAAGCAAAGGCAGAACACTCAGAGAGACTGAGATTCCAGCCACTTGTGGAGAGCAGATACCACAACTGGCTCCTCCAGCACAAAAGAAAGGTGGGCACTTTGAAAGACTTCCCAACAGTGAGAGGTGTGCTAAAGGGGCAAGGATTACACAGATCTTGCTGCTCAGGAGAAGGGGAAGGTAGACAAAATTGTGATAGCACACTCAGCCAGGCAGGTGGGAAACTTTCAGGAGGTTCAGTGCTCCGTCCCCCTGGATGGCAACACAGCACTGAGGGCACTGCCCCTGTGATATACAGCCTGCTTTTCCTTCCTCCCTCCAGGCACCAGTTAGCACACCTACAGCCCTGACATTGTGCCAGGCCAGCAAGAGGGTGGCCCCACTTACAGCAGCTACAGGAGTGTAATGCAGAGGCTCCTCACTGCATGCTTGGCCCACTGGACTGGTAGTGGAGGCAGGTAGTACAGCTGGGAAGAAGGAAAGAGCCCTTTACTACTGGGCCAGTGCCTCAGGCCTGTGATCCCTGCCATTGCTCCAGGTGCTAAGCATCTCCAGAGAGTAGAGCATCTGGGCACTAGAAGGCACCACTTACACAAAGTTATTACTCTATAGGAATCATTAGAAATATGAAACAGCAAAAAAGTTTTGTAAAAACATGAATCCAACAGACACCAGAAAGAGGGCTAAATGAAATTGAAATCAAGAATCTTCAAGATAAAGATTTCAAAATAAAAATCATAAGGATGCTCACATAGCTACAGAAAAGTAATCAAGATCTCAAGGAGGACTTCAAAAAAGAGAGAGAACCTTTGAAAAATGCATTATCTGAAATGAAACATACAATGGAGGGATTTTAAAGCAGATTAGATGAGGTAGAGGAGACAGTAAATGAAATAGAAATCAGAGAACAGGAAAACAAAGAAGTTGAGACACAGAGAGAAAAAAGGATTTCTAGGAATGAAAGAACAATAAGAGAACTGTAAGGCCAATTCAAATGGAACAGTATTCTCAATAGAGGGGTACCAGAAGAAGAAGAGAGAGAAAAAGGGATAGAAGGTCTCTTTGAGGAAATAATTAATGAAAATGTCCCCATTTTGGGGAAGGAAGTAGTCTCTCAGGCCAGGGAAGTGCAAAGATCTCCTAACACAAGGGACCCAAGGCAACAACAAACCATATAATAATTAAAATGGCAAAGATCAAGGACAAGGACAGAGTATTAAAAGAAACCAGAGACAAAAAGATCATGTATAATGGCAAGCCATCAGGGTATCAGCAGACGTCTCAGCAGAAACCTTACAGGCCAGAGGGAGTGGCATGATATATTTAATGTAATGAAACAGAAGGGCCTCCAAAAAAAGAATACTCTACAAAGTACAAAATATTATCATTTAAATTTGAAGCATGGATTAAATGTTTTCCAGGTAAGCAAAAGTTGAGGAAATTTACCTCCCACAAACCATCTCTACAGCATATTTTAAAGGGGCTACACTACATGGAAGTGCTCCTAAGACTAAATAGCTGTTATCAGACAAAATAAAACCACAGTAAGGAAGTAGACCAACTAATACTAACCAAATGCAAAATCAAATTAACTACCCACAAAGTTAGTCAATGGATACACAACAGGTAAAGAATATGAAACCTAATATATAAATAGTAGAGGAGGAAGAAGATGAAGGGAGAGGAAAAAAAAGAACCTTTAGATTGTATTTGAAATAGCATAATAAGTGAGTTAAGTTAGACTGTTAGGTAGTAAGGAAGCTGCCCTTGTACCTTTGGAAACCACAAATCTAAAGCCTGCAATGGCAATAAGTACATATCTATCAATAATCATCT